AAATGCCCACACTACACAATCCCACTCCACAGCTCCTGCACCTTATCTGGGATGAGCGGAACAAGCCAAGCCAAGTTGCCACACCGGGCAGTGCAGCAGTGTACTCTAACAGCAGCACCGTGAAAGCTTTTGGAGTCATAAGATCAGCTTTGGGGTTTTTTTTGGTAGTAAATACCTTGAAGGACCCTGTAAAGGCCCATGATAGCCGTCGTCCACGGCTGTGCTGAGTGTTCATGGGATCATCCCACATGATGCAGCCCTATATTGTCCCCGTGGCTGAGTATTGGCTCAGTGCACGTTTGCTAGGTAGTGACCTAAGTGGACAAACCAGCATGTGCCATAAAGCAAGAGCTGCTACATTTCACAGGACCCAGCAACTCTGGTTGGGGTCCAGTCCAACCCTGCACTCTGCAGGTCTCCAGTCCAACCCTGCACTCCCAGCGGGGCTGTTCCCAGCGTGACGTCAAGGTGGCCCTGGCTTTGTACAGCTGCATCTGGAAACCCTCCAAGGATGGAGACCCCCGACTTGCCTGCTGACCTCGGTTGCTCACCCTGTGGGGGAAGGATTCCTTCCTAGCATCCAGCCTGAACATGCCAGGCAGCAGTCTGTGCCCCGTTGCTTTTTATTATGTCACCTGACACTACCAGGTAGAGACTGGGTCCATCAACTTTGTAAGTGCCCTTCCAGTAGTTGTAGATCAGATCCCCCTTGGCCTCCCCTTTACTAGACTAAACAAGCCCTACAAGCCCCCGTGTGCCTCAGGAAAAACTGCTAATGCAGTTAAATATTTACTTTAGTTGAGGGATTTCCAAAGTGGAATAATAATAAAAGCCAAAGGTTATTGAACTGTGTAAGCTCAATGAGGAGGGAGTATAAAACATGTGCAGAGCCATCTAAACAGAGCCAACTAACGGTCCTGCAAATGGAGTTTTTAAGCATTCACACTTCAGACGCATTCAAAACAACCTTCCCCTCCCAAAACCCAATTAAAATCCTGCTTAGTCAGGTGTCGGGGAAGGTGAGAAAGGTTGCTGAGGAGAGCCTGCTACCTGCACATGAGGCTCGCTGGCGCTGGGCTGGGGATGCCTCCCAGCCACTGATGCAGAGCGGGCAGCGCTGAGCCATCTGCTTGCCTGGCTGAGGGCTCTTCTCGGTCCAGGTCCTCTTCCCCTCACATTTACTCTCCGTGGAGCAGATCCTGGATGCTGGGAGGTCCCAGCGGAGGTCCACTGAGCGGAGGTACCACCACTCCAACGACCTTCTGGACGGGGAAGGACACAGCCCTGCACTGTGGTTTCTTTATGACACTTATCCTGTTGGAGCCCAGCCACGTGCCCCTTGCACACGTGGCACCTGACATCTGTTCGTAGCGTGAGGGAGACCTTCTTTCATTTCTGGCTCAGCCTTAATCGGGGCAAGTCTGTCCCGACTGAGCTTTAGTCAACAGTGCTCTTCAGCTGTGACATGGACTTCCTGATCAGCAACCCCCTTTTTCATCTTTCACCTTCAGTTAATTGATTGATCTTGATTCACCCGAGGAACGTGATGATGGATGATGAAAATGTAACTTCTCAGAAAAATCACTGATATCAGGTGTCCAGTCTCAGAGGTGAAGTAGTTGAGATCTTCTGGAGAGGCGATCTGTTTTGAAAAATGCTTCCCTGAAAAGCTGATAACTCTCCCCACTGAGGATCCCTCTCCTACCTCTTTACCCTCTGCCTGCTCCATGTGCTGCCCCCGTGTATTTAAACTGCGTATCCACGGACACAGCCCTCTCCTATTACATTAGATCGCAGCCGCACAGATCAGCCTGAATTTCCTGACTTGTTCACATGACATCTCCCGGCCCAAATGGGAGACATTCTTCTGTCACACATGAAGAATGGCAGCTGCACAGCTGGAGGGCTAGTTCAGCGAAAATATTCCTGGAAGTAAGTTGGCTGGTTCAGCGAAAATATTCCTGGAAGAGGAAAGGCAGCATTTCCCAGTCCAGACTACAGAGCAGAAGGGTTTTAAAGCAGCTTCCACTGTGCGAGAAACTTCAGAGGGAGACCCAGCTGAGCAAGCCTGCTGCCAGCCTGGTTCCCGTCCTGGCACTTGGAGCTGGCAGGCCACGCCAGGATGGTTTATCAGCTCCTGGGGCTGGCCTGAGAGGAGGTGTGCAGCTGCGTGAGGGAGGCCAAGCGATCTTTCTGGGTGCACAGCCCTACTGTTCCCAGCGCAGATCAAGCTGCTCAAAATGCTGCTTTTCCCAGCTCCAGTGAGATAAGCTGGTGCCCTCCCCTATAAAGGGAGCCGCAGGCAGAGCAAAGTGTACGGGCGTTTGCACCTGAGTCAGCAGCACCATGGCTGTGGTGGAGCTGGTGGTGGTGGTGGTGGCGGCGGCC